ATGTCTCTGTTGTGTAAATGTTCATAACAAAAGAAAAAAAATGTACTCCATCATCCTGCCTGAGAGCGGGGTTCATTGTAGCGGGGCTTTTTAGCCCTTTTATGGACCTCAATAAACCAAATCAATCAATCAATCAATCAATCAATCAATCAATCAATCTCTCTCTCTCTCTCTCTCTCTCTCTCTCTCTCTCTCAGTAAATTGTGTATATTCATCAGAAAACATTGGAAAAAGTTCCAAAGTTTCCAAACAACTGGAGCATTTGCACCCTTATCAGTTTAAAAACTTAATTTTCTGAACTATTTGATTTTTTTTTAACTTTTGAAAAACATTTCTAAATTTATTTACAAATTGTCATTTTTGTTCTTACTAAACCTAGTTTTGGTATGTGAAACCAGAAAAGGGCCTGGAATTTTTTTCCAACAATGTTTTGGAAAATCATGCTTCCGAACTATTCGGAGAGACTTTAGGGCTGAAAACTTCCGACTTTTATTTACAGTGAAGGTCTATAATGTGGCGGTGAAAAGTTCTTTTATCTAGACTTCAATGAACAAAATCAAATTCACTCACTCACTCACTCACTCACTCACTCACTCACTCACTCACTCACTCACTCACTCACTCACTCACTCACTCCCGTTGCTCCCCCCTTGAGCGACACTCAACCTTCCCCACCACAAACTACTACTGATCCTATACAGAACGGTCGTGAGGTTCAATTAGTGCGATCGGGTCGGCGGATAAGACGCTGGCGACGGTCCCGAGGCCGGTAGGACGCAGGACGCGGTCCTCACCTGCTCGTCGCTGAGCGGCAGGACCCCCCGCCGCACGGCGCTCTTGGCCGGGGAGGAGGGCTCTGAGGCCGGCGCCGACCGCCGCGCCTGGCACAGCAGCACGCTGGACAGCTTCACGTCCGTCTGGAACAAAGATGGAACAGCCAGAGTTTAAATGCAGTGAAAGAAAAAGTGGACTCCCGTGCCATATTCCTCCGGTATTTCAAAATGTCATTCACAAGATATTTTTTTCTCCGTTAAAATTGTGCAAAATACTGAAGCCAAATGTTTTTTCTCTCTGGCACGTGTAGTTTGACAAAAGGACTATTCTGGGGAGTTTGACCCGAGCCTCGACACGTGGCAGGAAGCTACTTATGCGGTAAACAGCAAGAGATAAGCAGCAACGGCGCCACCGGGAGGCTGGGGAGACACTGTCGCGTCAATGTGGCCAGCATCAGCGCGCTTACCGGAGTGAAAAATTTTACCATCATCGAATAACCGACGAGGAAATCGTATTGACGCAAGGATTGACGTCGATTCGATATTGGCGTCGGTGCCGATACGACGAAAAGTCGTCGTCAATAGACAAAATCGACCAAAAAACGATTTTAAATTCCGTCTTAGCTTATCTGCGACATCCCGGCTCGCACAAGTAAACGCGTGCAGAATCCATCATCTGAGAAGCGACGCGTTTCTTTTTGTATTACTTTGGATTGCCGTGGAAGTTGTCTAGTCCTTCCCTACGTGGTGTGCTCCCCACACCGGGAACACCCAAGTGCAATAATGCCGCACACTTACTTAGGTGTGTGAACGACATCGGTACAAAATAGAGGCACAACAGTGCAAATTTCAAAGGAAAGATCACACCTTTAGTCCCTGAAGTGTACGAACGGGCAGTGACACACCTACAAGTGTGTGACATTCACACATTTGCGTTCTCCGTGCACACGATGTGCTCCACTCGAAGGTCCATACTCACGGTGAGCAGGCACAGGGCCTCGTCCAGGGTGCGCAGGCGGTGCTGGCCCTCCTCGCAGTCGGGCAGCACGTCCACGGCGGCCAGCAGCGTCACCCCGTCGCCGAGCGTGTCCTTCCTGCCCACCGTCATGAAGTAGCAGAGGGTGGACGCCAGCTCGGTGGACGACACCTTGGCGGCCTCCGACGCCTCGGCATCGTAGAGCACCAGCGGCCGCCCGGTCACGTCGTGCACCCCTAAAAGGAAGAATATAGAAAGTTAATACACAAGTAATAAAGTTTTACGAAACTATGTATATGTATGCTGTAAAGGCAAGGTTATACAGTAGGTTGTGGCAGTAGACCCCTCGCGATCTGATTGGTCGCCGAATCGTGACGTCACCATTTGTCCTCCCGCCCGCAGTTCAAA